AAAAAGAGAACACTTAAGTGATCTCGGACGCTGAGCGGGGCTTCACAAAAGACGACCTTGAGATTTCAACGGTTCGGCCACTGGCGTGATAAGACACAACGGATCAACCGCATTACTCTGTGAGACATTGTTTACCTATGCTGTCATGTGTCACGAGGTTCATATCAACAGGCATTTGCGATCGCGGCAGTAAGCTCAGGCAATATTTCTGTATTCATGGATTAAATCCATCAATCGAGTTCTGATTTTGGCTCATATATCCGTAACGGGTCCTCCAGAGCAATTTTCCACCTTGTACGATGGTTATTATTTCTTTATATCTATGTTTAAAATTTGAGGTTGGATAATGGCGGCTTCTCAAGAGCAACGAGGTAGGCGATCTTTTGCACCAACGAACAGAAAACTGATGGCGAAAAATAACCAATCAGAACCTCCCAAAAAAAAGAATTTGCCTAAAAACGGAACTTCGTGGTTCTGCGCAGATTTACCAGTCAGACACGACATCTTAAGGTGGAAAAAAACTCGCTGAAAGCGAATTTTAGAAATCAACACAACTTGACGTAGAGACATGATTGGCTAAAAAATACAACGGTTTTTGATACATCGGAAAATCAACCAAAAATCGGAGACTGGGCGAAACGCTCAAGGTCGCAGAGGTATAGGGAATCCCATTGTGAAAGCAACGGAACGATTGTAATATCATGGGGAACTCCGTTCCCATGACAATATAATGAATAATAACTTTTCATTATCAAATGACATTGAAATAACAATACTGACAGTGTGCATGCGGGGAACGCCACTGATCATTTCCTGTGACCTGGAGCTTCATCATACTCAATAAAATTACATTTCAAGGATAAAATAATTTCTCAAAATCCAGTCTTGATTTTAATAGAAACATATAAAACATTTTGAAGAGAATGGATCATTCAAAGCCTAAGCTGACTTCTCTTTATTGCTTCGATATATTCGTGGAGACATCATATAACTTCTGCAATGTATCACGCATCACCGTCATCACCTGATTATGGCCTGCTCTAGTGCTCTGCCCTCAAAGACCTCCGCTCACAGATTTACTCTCCAACAGTCAACATGGATACAAATCCACTAACCTGTGATGATCCCAATGTCACAACCAAAATTTTGAAATGTTTTGCTCCTATCAAGTGAAAAACCTTAATTTTTGTTAATGAACTCACCGTTCATGTTTTTTGTAAAGACATTATTAGCTTGAGATGCTGATTGTCTCAAATGAAATTAACCAAATAACTAACTAACTCTTGGATTTTTGGCACCCCATCGTCTGAACTTGCAATCGAATTTTTAAGAAAAAGCAAGCGAGCACTTTTAAGCAATCCGTAATTTTTCAGCATTCTACGTCAGATATTTGTCGATAAGAGTGGTGCACTCTATGTTCATGTTGCGTAAGCTCGTTGCGTGACTAAATTTCCGAGCTGACCACTGAACAGTGCTGGGTTTCCCTTTCCATTACGCGCTTTTATACCGGGCACATCAAGTTTCCAGGGCCGGATTTACCTACTTGCCGCTAATAGACCGCCTGTATCTTGCCGCCCTTTTTTCATTCATTTTGAAACATCAATAAAAACCATCAAGTAAACGTACCGGAGGGGAGGGGTGTATAAGACGCGTTCTACTCGTGTTGGACTCATTTTTTGCGAAAGCCCTATCAACGCTCCTAGCAAAAGTTCACGAAACTTTGCGCGAAAGTTAAGTTCCGTGAACCCATCTCGGTGTGGACAAGGCCTTCCATTTATAAGAAATTAACATATAAATTATGAAAGAACAAACATAAATGTGGATTAATAATTTTAACTACCGCTGCCGCGCCGAGCTGACCAAATTGTGTTTGGCGCAATGCGTGAAGTATTCATCCAGTCTTGTAGGCTCTATGCGTTTTACGCTTACTTCACTGTGTTTGACGCAATGCGTGAAGTATTCATGCAGTCTCGTAGGCGCTATGCGTTTCACGTCGACCGCTGCTGACCGCACTGTGCTTGACGCAATGCGTCAAGCACAGTGCACAGTGCGCAATTGCGGTCTTGTAGGCGCTAATATGTGTCACATGCCGACCGCCGCGCCGAGGACTCCTTTTCATCTCATCATTGCTCTCTGCGCCACGCCGCTCCAGGCCAAATTGCGGGTTTAGTTTCTCTCTTAACTCGACTGATTGAAGGTGCTGTCTCTTGTATCACTGATAGACACAAAAATTAGAAATTACTATACTCTCGGGAAATTAGAGATTTTGTCGCCTTTTCTATTTGGTAATGTTTTTCCTGAATCCGAGTTTTTTTTGTACCTACATTTAAAAAATCGCAAAATTTGCAAAAAATGTTTTATTCTCTAAATTTGCCACCATGGGCCACGTCCCATATGGCCACCCCCTAAATCCGGCCTTGTAGGGGACACATTCAATCACTGACTGAAATTGCTTAAATTACGGAATCGTACCTGACTTGATGTGCTCCTGTTTAGTGTAGCAAAATAGTTAAATGAACTCCATGGTGTCGTGTGATTAGGCTCCGCCAAAAATTTAAAATAATGTTTTGTTCCTGATTTAGAGGAAGCAGACCTGACAAGAAGGGAATTTGAAGGTTTCTTTTCATTGCTATTTTGCAAAAAGAATATTCTGTGCAACAATAATTATCCGTTACAGGATATGTCTGAGGTTTTCAACAAATTTGGGTTGAAGCAGCATTTTCAATGGCGAAATTCAGAAATTGCCATGTAGTGAAAAACGAAATGGTTAACTCGTGAAATAGTACAGCATCTGGATAAACTTAGTAATTTGCTTTTGTTTAAAAGCTGCCACGTTGAGTTTCCCCAAATATGCAAATCTTGGCCTTTTGGCTTCGACATTAATGAACATGTGACAATGCATTAAAAAGTAGCCTCAGCCCACAAAAACTCAAAATTAAATTGCTAATAGCTAAGCACAGATGTTTTCACACAAATTTTGGGACGGAAATCGCCAAAAATATCCAACCAAACCGGAACTACACCGGATGGAAGTTTCCAGATCAAAAAGCTAATTCTTGTGTGAAAAATCTATGTAAAATTCTAACCTGTCATATTATGTGCACGAAATTGCCGGTTTGTCATGCAACTTTGAGGCCACTATTGGCATGCATATGAACAAAGCTATTCACAGCTTATTCTTTAGGATACCTGATGGTGTTCTGCATCGAAATATCATTTTTTTATTTTTCGATTCAACTGTACGATAAACTCTTAAGTGAAAATTATGCCTTCGTGGACTAAGACCCCTTTTTCTGTGTGCAATCACATGTATAGAATGTGAATTACAAACCCTGTAAGCACCGTAAGGGGTAGCTAAGCTTTTTCATCATTCTTAATCAGGAAGCCCAAATGATTTAGTTGTATGGATTTTTTAACCAGTGAATTTCCCCTAACTTTGAGTCTCATTTTCATGGCAAAAACTTGTATTCTATAAGCCAGCTGGATTATCGTTTAAGCAAAACAGTTTCAAGATTTTACCAACATGTACTGACGCTAACCTGATTTTAAATTCCCATTCTTTATCCCAAGTAGCACAGTGCAGTGAAAATATTGAAGTAAATTTGCGATTCAATGCAATAAAATCGCAATTTTTTTACCATGCAGTTACAATAGGTTTTCATCACTTAATAAATGCAAATTCTAAAAGAGCGAAGTGATGAGCTCCACGCATAAGCAATATAGGCAATTTGCAACTCGCGAGAAATTGCAACTTACATTATTCAATTTAATTGCAATAAATTTCAGTAATAGTTGTCTATCCATGCAGTAGATAGGCGATATACACAACTGTAGTGCAAAAGAAATAATGTTACCATGTCATTAAAATTTACTCCAATGGGCCAATAGACAAAGAACCTCTGGGCCTCTAAACTAGAAGAGGAGACCACATGTTTTCTCCTCAAAATTTTACGTAGAAGATCATTACAACGGGGAAGTTCAAATATCAGATCCTAAATGAGAGATTAATAAGAATTTCTAACACGAATTAAATGGAAGTCAGATCATACAAATGACGTTATTTGTATTCTTGACAGTGAGCCAATGTTGATGTTAAACACTGATATTTTCCATGGGAGTTGCTTTCCATAATTTTCGTCGTGTGATTTGGTTTTCTCGTGAAAAATTAATGAGGAAACATGTTGCACAGTGCTTTAGTGCTTACCTTGTCTGGAGGCCCACTTGCACTCCTTGGGATATTGCGAATAAAATAGTTCAGAATTGAGGGACTTGGAGTACAAGCCACATGAGTGCAGTTTTTGCTATTTCGAGAAATACGTGTTTGAAGGTTCGAAATTACATGAATCCTTGTGGTGGAAAGAGAGTTCAAACTGACTTTGTGATGATTACAAATTAGAATTTGGGGGCGAATTTTTCTCAGAATATGTATTAAGACTAGTTTTACTTGAAATCATTAATATCTCAATCTTATCAAAAACTGCACTTATGTGCCTTGTTCTCCAAGGCCTCTCAATTACTCTAGAATATCGTCCCGAGTACCAGCGGCCAGCGGCCCGTCATTGAATCTACGTCGATACGACAAGACCCTATCAAGAAACAACTTAAAACGGGACTAAGGCCGCAAATAATAAACAAAAAATAAAATAAAAAACCCGGGACGTTTCGCAGGGATCACACCCGCATTTTCAACCGGCAAAACAAGAAAATTATAAGAAGGAACACTATGAGCCTCACCGTTACGTTATGGTGAGACTATCACTCTATTGTGAGACGCGGGTGTGATCCCTGCGAAACGTCCCGGGTTTTTTATTTTATTTTCTGTCTATTATTTGCGGCCTTAGTCCCGTTTTAAGTTGTTTCTTTATAAATGTTTCGGGCCGATTAAGTTGTTTTTTCTATCAAGACCCTATCTTAACCATGCACTTCATCGCATTTCCATGTCTATCGTGCTGCTGTAAACTTGGAATAATTGGTCCGCAGGACCGAGACGCGAAACTCACCTGATTCAAGACAGCGGAAAAACGCCGGTCGACAGCCGCTTCAGCTCCTTTGTTTACAAACAAACAACCGGGCGTTTTCACGTGTGTTCCCGTCGGTCGGTTCCGCTCGTCCGACTGCGTAGCACTGGACGTGGTCGCGAACCGGGGACCCGCCGACCAATCGCGTCACAACTCACCCGCGAAAACAAACAGAGCCCAGGAGCCGGAATTCCTCGCAAAGGCTTCGCACCGTTTACGAATTCCCGAGAAAAAATAAACGCAGACGAGGAGAAGGCGAGGCGTTGCGGCCACTGCCCGCCTTCGCCAGAACCCCCCTCGCCCCCCTTGCCGGCCACTTCCGGTGGTTAAAGCTCAAGAAGGAGGGTGACCTCTTTTCCGACCCCTACGCCCGCCCCCCCCCGTCCCCCCCCTCCGCGGCCGACTGACCAACTCCCGGGTGATTATAATAAAACTAAATCAAGCCTGGAATTTTAATTTTTACCTTTCTCATTTTTATCCCCGTCGCCCCTTGTACTGTCGTGCTAAGGAAAAACGCCGTATGAGCATTTAGGCGTTGCCGGATTTCCTTCAATAAATACCGAATTTACTTGGGAAATCTTGAATATTTTTCTTCAAAGTTTTCGGAAAATTTTGCTCGCGTTTTTTCTCTGAAATGTCTGAAAATTTCAAGGAAATATGAGAATAGGTTTCCTCAAAAATATAGAGTTTATGCAGGGAAATTTGGCAACTCTCGAATGTCCATGCGGCGTTTTTTCTCGGCACGGCAGTATAGCTATCGGTCGTCCGTCTTCGTCTAATTCTTTGCCTGGGCGACTAATTAAATAGTGGAAATTCAAAATATCGTAAGTGCCATAAGATGTTGCTCAGAGTGGGCGTGGTGTCCCTCGCTGCAAAAGGAACTAAGTCCCTCCGCTTCGTGAATTCTTTTATCGAGGGATCTTCTCTGAATTTTTCGTCTTCATTTCATGATATGGATTTTCACTCTTTGACTCGTGATATTCCTAACAGATGAGAGAGATGACTGCACAATCTTAGCTATGCGCTTAGCTTGGCTTAGCGCGTAGGATGTTGAGTGAGTTTCTACTTTTCGTCGTGGCCCCTTGAGAAAAAATTATCGAAATTCCTCCAAGACTAATTAATAAGAACTGCTGAATGGGCTGTGTTCGCATTTGGGGTGTAAAACAGGGTGATTGTTTTTATGGGTGATAGAAATTTTATGGTGATTATTGTGCGCGGCTGACAAGTTCTGAAACAATAGGGCAACGTTCAAGACCTACAATCCCACTAACAAGTAAACAACCTTAAAGTAAAATGAAAATCACAAGAATTTTAATTCCAAGCAAGTGGGTGTCGCACTCTGGACTTATACTATTAGTGAGTCCTCAAAAATGCAAGCTATGAAGCAGGAAGTATCTTCATCGTTCCGTCCAGAAACAGATTTGGTGACAAATTCGAAAATCTGGTTTTAGTCAAACTTTCATGGATACGATTCTGGAGGTTGATACGTTTTTGAAAGGCGATGTAACATTTGCCAAAGCAAAAAATCGCATGTTCGAAATTTTAAAGAATGTAAAACATCCAGAAAATTGACCTGAACGGTTTAATATGGAGAGGGCAAAATGTGCAATTCATCAAAGCCCTGGACCGAATGGCCAAGACGGATTTGCTCCCTACTGTGTACCCGCCCAACATGGAAATATTTTAAAAATATTGCTGAAATATTGTCAAAAACATTTTAACAATATTTTAACAATATCGAAATAATATTGCTGCAATAGTTTGTTGTCCGCCCCCCTGACAATATTNTGTTACAATATTGTCATGAAATATTTTAGCAATATTGTCAACATATTTCTGCAGTGTATTTCAGGAAATATTTACATGACAATATTGTTTCAATATTGACAATATTGCTGCAATATTGCTGCAATATTTCGTGTTGGGCGGGTAGTGAAGAAGTGAAGCGCCCTGAAAGAGCCGCGCAGTCCAATTTGGGAGACATTGCATCGCGCAATGCCGATTTATTCCGTCGCGTCGTGCTAAGGAAGAACGCTGTATCGAGTGCTGTCAAATTTTTCCCGATAAAATATTTATTCATTACAAAAATTATAAATGTTTTTATTTATATTGTACGCCAGGTCTAATCAAATTACGAATAAAATTCTGCAGGCAATTCAAAGGATAAAATTTACAAGTTAAACAGAAAAATTTTTGGGAGCAATTTGGCAACAGGAGAGTGTTTATATGAGGTTTTCCTCTGGCACGGCAGAATTGCGTGCTCGGTCGTAGTGCGAAATCAAAGTTCCAACATCGTAACTCACCGCACCTCCGGCGGCAGGCATTCAAGTGCGTCTCAAGTCGAGATTTTCAGCGCTGCAGAAGTTGGTTAGCTATTGTCGTGTTTTGTCTGCAGACACACAATTCTCAGGTATTCCGTGAAATTTCCCGAGCTTCTCCTTTGAATGAAATTCTTGCACGTGAATTCTATTCGCGAATTAATTATCCTGCCTCGGAGGAAGCTACGCGAAAAACACGTCAAAGTGGTTCCAAAACCCAGATACAGGCCCGTTGATCTTATATTTCAAACGAGATATTTCTTCTAAGAATGACAATGATTGATGTGATTGATATTTAACTGTATAAACTGGAACAGTATACCTCACATGTTTAAGAGAAAGAAAAGGTTTAAAAAAGGGGTCAAAAAAAAGAAAGAAAAAAAGTGAATTTTATGTCTCTTATGATCTATTACCCTGCTCTTTTTTTAAATCTTAAAAATTTGAAGTTACGGTGAGCTATTGATTGTCAAACTACTACATACATAAAATTTGCATTTCCCAGAAATGAAGCCAGTTCGCCACTTAAACACTAAACATCTAAACATACGAGTTAATCATTCTGGCAGGCATTTCATTTATTAAAAGTTGTATATTCAATCCCAAAATGTTGATGCAATTCTTTATCAATTAGTAATTTAAGACTTTAAACGTTAAGCTTTTTAAACCAAAAAGACATAATTATAATATACTTTATTTATATTTTGCTATAGTTGATTGATTTTTCCGGATGTTGAACATCATCTGCCGTTCTACGCAATGAAACACGATACTAGTCAATTTACGTACGTTAGTGCGCCTTCAATTTTGTTTGATACTGTGCAACACTTCTGTGGCGGAATAGTTGCTCAGAGCGCCTTGCACAATGTCGCCTCGACTTGATGGCAGGAGATCAGAAATGACACTCTAGTACGTGCGCAGCTACACATTTTGTCATCATCGGTTGTGCGATTATATTTATACCTGCATTTGCGACGTTGCAAGTTTTTCACTCCCTACTTTATACGGGTATACCCGAAAGAACTTTTTAAAATTTGCTGTGATTTGTCCGAGACAATATTAGATACACTAATTTAATGTGTGATTCATGTATTTTTTTGAGGTAGGTTTGTATCTACCTTATACAGCGTGTCAAACAAATTATAATTTGTTTCTCCTTCTTTTTTATGTTCTGCAGTGACAAATCATTGTAACCCTCACAGGGATCTATTTCCAAAGTTATATCGATGAATTTCACTTGCGATTCGTAAAAATTGTCCTACTAGTTGAAATTCAGTGCCGTGCCGTATTTTGCGATGTATCGATTGATATGCAATTCAAACCTATGAAAAAAGATCGATTATCAGGGCGTTTGCAACGAGCACCATAATATTCGATTCTTTACCATAGCTTCAAATGGGATAATATCGAGAGTCGATTATCACGCCTCGCCACTGGTGCAATGTTGATGATCTTTAGTCGCTCCTTTAATTACAATGCAAACTATATGGAGACTCCCTAAGGAAAGGCGCGGTTCAAGGAACGACTATGAATACGGCCCTATAAAGTTATTGTTACGCACACTATGACTCGTACCAGTATTTTTTACCAAAGACTTTGGTTATCTGAACAAAATTTCGTTTTGTGCGACGAAAAACTGCAGTTTAACTGCTCCGAAAACTCTGGTGTTCCTAATTAACTGAGGTCTCAGTCCTTGAAATTGAAGTCGTTTTCTCCCTGTATATATGTAGAGAACTTTTGAAACGCTCAAAGACACTGACAGAGGAAGAAGAGACAATACGCGTCTCTGCGAGTGCTGGCGCGCATTTCCAGCCAATTTCAGCCGAGTTTCAATGCGGAAAAGAATCCCTTCCCCACCTCTGTTTCGCAAGGGCGCGTTCGTCCCCTCAAGACGCCTTCATTTATGAAAATTGTTCTTGTGTCTAGCGTGAGGCAGCATTCCTTTTTATTTCTTTAAGCGCTTCCTCAGCCAGTTGACTTATTTTTACACGCTTGGCTTCGCCATCAGCCCTCTTATGCCACAAATTAAAAGTAAATAATTTTAAAAAAATAATTGGGTTAAATAAGTCAGACCTAGGCGTGGTTAACTGTCATAGGTTAGGAAGCGAAGGAGAGTTGGTGCTCAGTGGAATATTCCGTCTTGAATTTCCAATGGACGGAACGTCTAAGGATACATGTCTGTAAAAGTAATGTTCGTTATAAAATGATCAACGTAGATTTATTTGTCCGGTATGAAAAGTACCCTTTGGGATGATGTCTTATTGTTGATTTTGTCCAAGAACCTAAGGACTCGAGGGAAATTAAACTTAGAAAACCAGCTAAGAATCAGCAGAACCAAATAAGACTTGCCTTATGTCTTGTTATTTTTATGCTTGATTTTTTACTAGAAAACTAAAAAAACCTCTAACTTGGATTTTTCAGTATTTATTCTTCAAAATTCAAAGGGAAGAAGAGAATCTCATAGCCTTAAGTTGTCCAGTTTTCTGTCGACAAAATGAAACTAGAAGAAAATCAGAGAACGTGAAATTCAATTTGGAATATTTTGCTAAAATCCGTCCATATATGACAAAAATTTAGAAAACATTTTAAAACACTTATGACACCATGTTTTGCAAAAACTGATGGCGCCTAGGACATTTTGAATTTCAGTTCATTTTATAATAAAGAATTATCATATTCGCCTCAATCACAAAAGCTACCACCTACGTAGGGAAACTATAGTGGCACGTGTGTTGTTTCTTATGAGTCATAAAAAGTTGTTATAATCGCAAAATGTAATCCAATTGAATGTATTTAAATCAAAAGGAACTACTCCATTAGGACATAGGCCCCGTCATGCATAATTCTTATGGGTCCCACGGCCCAAGTCATGACGGAGATAATTGCTTTTGATTTGAATACGTCCAACTCCCACCCTCAAGTTGTCCGAGCGGCATCACCGCGCCGTCATCTGTCGTGACCACGCTCCCACCCCCGCAACGTTATCCTACACTCACCCTCCTCCCCCGCCCGACCCTCCTTTTTTTCAGGTCAAAACACCACATTCATTTTAATATCATACACACGCCAAGAAGTAATTTCTTTTTAAATTGTGGTCTAAATACTTATTGCCGTCGGCCACATTATTAGCATTAGGCTCTCGAGGGCGTCCAGCTCGAGGGGGGGGGGGAGGGAGGGAGGGAGCCGGGACTTTCAAACGCCTCGATATTTTCCATCGATGATTGTTGAACTCGCGATTCGCACGGACCCCCTCCCCCCCCCGTTCCCATCTCTCCTACCACTTGAGATTTAATTAAAAACGCCTCGATATTTTCCATCGATGATTGTTGAACTCGCGATTCGCACGGACCCCCTCCCCCCCTCCGGTCCCCATCTCTCCTACCACTTGAGATTTAATTAACCTTGTATCTGCCGTTTTGATTGATGTCACCAGGTTTCCTTTTAACCGACCGTAAAATGCCGCGAGCTGAGGAAGAACGCCGTATCAACTTTTGAGCGTTGCCATTTCTTCAGGGAAAATTATTGTTGTAGAAGGAAGTCATGAGTTTTTTTTTTTTTTTTTTTTTTGAGATTTTCAGATACTTTTGCATTGTGTGTGAAATTCCGTGAACATATTGAAGAAAAGTAGACATTTTTTAAAAGAAACTTTAATTTTTATACGGAACGTTTCATCGACGTATGTATGCGCTTATGGTGTTTTTCCTCGGCACGTCAGAACAGGGATTTTCATCCGTTTTCCGTGTCGGCTGACCGGTCCGTTATTCGTGTCGGCGAGACGGGTCCTTGTCCGGGAATTCTTCTCGCCATTTTCCTGTGCACGTCAACCCCTGCAGGATGTCGTGAAAGTAAAGAGCACAAAATGTCTTCTGGAATGCAAAAGACAAGCTTTTCTCGGAATAATGAATAATGCATGATGCGCTAAAATCTATGAAAGTTCAGCGCAGTTTTCCTTCTTTTTTTTCATTCTTTTTCTCTTTTCCCTCTCAGTCCATCATGCAAACGAATCATAATTAGAATCGTTCGGACAGGATTTATAAAGCTGAACCAGGTACTAAAAGAAAACTAACCCGGCTGATTGGAGGGTACAGGCTCGGTTTGATTTCCAGGAAATCAATGAATATATTTATTAATATTTAAGTGCTGTACTAATAATGCACCCCTTAAATACAATAAAATAGATAAATAGAAGGAATATATTTAATAAACATCGGTAAGTCATCAAGAGGTAGGTAAGCGGAGGAATATCAATCTTGCCTATACTCGCAGTTACGTCTCTTGGATGCATGATCGACACAGACTTCTGGTTTTGAAGACTTGATATCCTGCGGGGCGATTATTGAAACTGATAGACAAAGCGATAGACAAAGATGACATAGGGGGTATAAAGCAATTCTATTGGTTGAAATGGGTGGTTCTCACCGACTAAGGGGGAAAATGATAGACTAACTGTCGGGTTTCTCGTGGGTTGCCGTTACTTAGTCGATTACCTACCTCCTTTGTCCATTGCAACAACCCGTTTCCACCAATAGGATCCCTCCAAATCCCTTTTGTCGTCTTTGTCTATCGCTTTATCTATCAGTTTCAATAATCGGTCCGCTGAAAATCAAGTGGATTGCATTTTAAATTATTATCTTTTATTTCGAGTTCATCCATAAATCACCTTCAGGGAAACTGGTAGAACTTGCATTGTTTCTAAAATGAGTCAGATGAAGCAGAGTTTTCATTCTGATCACAAAATGTTGTCCAAAAGGACTTTGTGAGTTCAGCTGAAAACCACGCGGTAAATGCACTTTTTTATAATCTTCTATTTGTGTGTAATGTTCATTGGATGTTGCACAGTCTCTGATATAAATGAAAAATGTTGGCTTGCTTCTGTTAAACAAAGATCATTTATTGACCTAATAACCAATATTACTTTCTCTTAAGCGCTCAGCCAATAGGGAGCGCTTCTTAATTTCAACCTGCCAATGCGTTCAAATGACGCATCAGCTCATCAACAAGATGACAGAGAGGGGCCTAACGTATTTAGAATAGATTAATCTGTGATGTATTTATTTAATACTTCTGTTATCAGAGCACGGAGGACGATGGTGGAGCGAGTTCTCGACTGTGCTCATCTTCTTCGGGGATCTTAAAAAGGCGCCGGCCTCCATAGACAATAAGTGCGCGTTTCACTGATACCAACGTTTTAGATTTTCCTGTTTGTTTCTCCTTGAATTGAAGTCGACGGTGAAACTACCAAACCACGTATCTCGTTTGAGGTGTTTAAAAATCTACGCTCACATTTTATTTTTTTGGAGTAGACCAAATCAATATCATTCCTTGAAATTTTCACGGAATTTTCTCCGCACAAAGAGGAAAAATCACAGAAATTTTCAAGACTGGATGTTAAGTAGTTTTTCATTTAAAAAATAAAGTATGACAGGAAGTCTGCGACATCGCAAACCGAGATACGTGGTTTGGTAGTTTCACCGTCGATATGTAGTATTACCTTCGGTAATCGAATTTAAGCAAACTCGTTCCCCACGTCAAAATTGACTTACATTCATGTTATTTTTGACGCTGTTTTCAATTTGGATAGGTGCTCTACTATGCGTCACGCATGGGGGTTTGATTTAAAAATTGTTTGAACTGCCCTCGTTTGCCTAGACTGATATCTAAATATTGATAGAAAAACCCTCGCTGACGTTTTATCATTATTACGTAGTGAACACAAGACACTTGTTCATACATCAAAAATTTGTTCGAAAAATTTTCTGGTTGATGAATTCCAATTTAATTTAAGTTGAGTACTATACATAGGTGCTTCGAACGCGTGCTTCACTATCTACCAACCACGCTTTTATCAATTCGTTCTCAGAATGGAGAAAGAGGGCCTCAAAGTATTCCTTATTCTCTTGGTAATAAACTTTTTAACTTATTTGTATCTTCCGTCAATTTTACCCAAGAGAATGCTCAAATATTTTTTAAAACTAAATTTCATTGGTATACCTTTCAATACAGGCTGCATGTGCCTACGCCTAATTTCTTAGCTTACGGTAGTTCTCCGGAAAAAAAGCAAGCGTTTTTATCTTTTTGGTTAATATTTGTTTAACTGTACATCTAATTACGTGGTGGCATGACATGAATACTACAAAATTACAGTGGGTAGTGATCATCACACTATCGTAGAAAAACCAGACGCTCGAGTCCAAAGAGTCATGAGTTTATTTTACTCGGATCTTTTATGCTTGTATATCATAATAATTTTTTGTAATTATAACTTATGAATTCAGCGTCATTTCAAAACTTTGAACGTCATTGTCTGAAAAACACTATTTTGCCAGAGTCTCTCGCATTTTTTCCACCCACCTGAATACTGTTCAAGAGTCATATTATTTCCAAGTTCGAATAATTATGTTTATTCAAGGTGCTTTGCATTGCCGCTGAAACAGTTCTTGGAGAACTAACGAACTTCCTCGGGTCGGATTTCGAAAGACCACTCGTCAGGCGTTGGGGCGGAAAAAAACAAATAACGGTAAAGTATTATTAAGAAGACGTTCGTAACTTATCCGCCTCAGAAGGCGTCTACGACTTGAAAATGAGAATAATGTTGATTTCATAACGCCAAAATCAATGGACGAATTATTTTTAAACCAGCGGGGAGACGAGACTCAAGGCAACATGAGCATTTTTTGAGAGTCTCATCCTGAGAATCAGAGCTTGATTTTTGTCGTATCTGCGCCGCTGTCTGATTGGTCCTCCAGTTTTAGGTCTTTCATGACGCGCCTAGGACCTAATGTAAACGAATCCGACTGAGCCGAATTCGTAATTTCGAGGAAGAAATGAATGTTTGGTTGGTAGATACGTTTATTTGGTGCTTTTAACAATTGAGCCATTAACACCTTAGAGGAGAGATCAAAATATAGTACAGAATTTAAAAATTTAAAAAGTAGGGGTCACATAAGACAAATATACCCACAAGAAAAGTGTGATTTTTTGCGAAATATGTGTCATGGTTTGTTTAGAACTCATTCCAGACATTGAGAATCAAAAGGTTCCAATGACGCTTTGAACTACGACGCAATCTTTTTTGTCTCCGTTGGCATAAGGGCTTTGATTGGCAACTACCAACAGATCAATCAGAAAGTGGCCAAGTTTTTCCGTGGTAAAAGGATTGAAATTATACTGCACTCTCCCTGTACAGGCACTCTTTATTCAGAGCCAAAGGAACTTGATTACATTGGAACGTTACAAAATTTGACTCAACTACCAATTGCTCTACAAATAGCACAACCCAGTAACCTTTCCGAGTGGTGCTCCCGAGGAATCACAAATTAAGGTGATTCGATGGAGGCCATTTTCTGTGTCAAAGCGACGTGCGATATATCGCATCGATTAGCTCCATAATTTCAGCTCCTTGTCATTTGCTTCAAATTTTGAGATCGTACTTCCGTTGTCATGAGACTGAAAAACTCATGTAACAAAGAAATTCAACGTAGTAAAGGCGTGTTTTTTTTTTTTAGAGGAAAAATATCGCATTCGATACTGATATCGAAACTTCACTCGAATGCGATATTTTCCCTCTAAAAAAACCACGCCTTTATTACGTTGAATTTCTTTGTCAAATTTGGTACATGAGTTCTTCATTCTCATGACAACAGAAGTCCGATCTAAAAATTCGGAAGAAATGACAAGTAGCTGACATTATGGCACAAATCGATGCGATATATCGCACGACGCTTTGACACAAAACATGGCCTCCATGGAATCACCTTAGTGTAGAGTAGAAACCGTCACTAACTATGAGCCAACGAAAACCGCAAAAAAGAGAGGAAAAAAAAGAAACGATGCGTCGGTGGGAAAACAGTAATTGTCGGGTAAAATTTGAATTGTTAAACTATTGACTATTAGTGCGTCTACTATACAGTGAGACTGTTTTCCAGGGTAATTTATTAATCGTAGACAACGTTTAAATTGAACATTATTTGCAATGCATAGTGATCACGCCTTTTACAGTATGATTTTTTTTTTTTTTTTAAATTGAACTTCAATTGAGGAAAAATTATCACGGAAAAATGATAATGTAGAAACAATTCTTCAAATTGTTGACCTCGACTATAAAAATTGTAGCTTTTAAAAGCTCGTTGCCGTATGACAACAACATACAGAGGTCGAATAGTGATGTAAATGCGCAACCAATTGGAAATATTGGCAACGTAATTCTTTTATTCGAAATTTTCCACAACGTATGCCGATGGCTGAAGTGCGACACCATGTATTGAATCGCGATGTTTCAAAATCTCCATTCCTGGTTTATTGCTTCGTAGAGAAGCAAGGCAGCTCTATAACTTGAAATATGTACAGAATATTCCACTAACAGAGCGGAAAAATCAAATAAGTTTTCAAGAAATTACGTTGACTAGTTTTCCAGGGAAAAAATAAATATGACTGGAAGTCTACAACGACGCGAACGGAAATTCGTGGTTTCGCACTTCGATATTTTGAATACGACATTTTCACCTATCATCGATTTCACGGACTATTTTATTCCTGGCAGGAGGATGAGTTGCAAGTCATCAGAGATGAAATCTTAAAAATAGCAGACCCGGACACAGACCCATGTTGCAAATTAGACGGTGAATACATTAAGGGTGACAAAAAATTCGCCACCGTCCCGAATACGCAGTGCAAGTACGCGTTCAAGAAACTGTTGATGTATTTCAATGCCACGGTTCCCGATTCCTGTCGGGCGACTAGATCACCGAAATGTACAATGAATACGACAACCAACAAAACACAGTGCATGGCCGATCAGCACAAAAAAAGCAGTTTCGCCAATTTTATGAAAACTGCAACAGGTCAAACGACCCTGCAATTTTGTACCACGCGTTTAACTGCACCAGCACAGTAAGAGATTTGACCGAGTTAGACAAAAGAGGTTTTAAGACGAGGGGAAAGTAATTCAACAGAAGGGAACCAACTCAAGCAGTGATTTCAAATTGCTTTGCCTCAAAAAATATGGATTAAATGCACAATAGAGAAATGTATGCACACTCGATTTTTTTTTTTTTTTTTTTTTTTTTTTTTTTTTTTTTAAATCATATCTTTTGGGTAAAGAAACAATTTTTTTATACACTAGACATTTTTAGATAAATATGAAGATGCACAATATTTATATCTTCGTAATCAAGTCGGTGCTCCTCTCATAAAATCGATCCCATTATTACTAAAAATTCCAAAAAATTACCGTTTGAGATAATTTTGAAAGTTGTAGGACAGTGCATCGCCAATTTGAGAAAAATATAGATGCATGTGTCGATGCTTTTGCCGGCTTTAGTGGATTACATGTATCGCGTAAGCAGCCATTTTCGAGAGGGAGGAGGTCTGACGTCAACTTTTCTGGATCTTAAAAGAGGCGGGGAGTTAAATCCTAGCATTACCTAGGCCTGCTTCTTTTTCAGACAAAAATCATATTTTCCAATAAAAATAATATTTTCTATATTCCAGGCTTTCTCAGTGATTCTCTAATAAAAAAATGAGGGGAGTCAGGCTAGTATCACTTAATTAAAAAAGGGGGTGATTAGGTTGTATGTATCATAAGTACCTTATACGAGGGGGAGAGGGTCAAACATTTAGCCAAAATGCCGCGCGTAATACTTGATGGGCAAATTACGATCGATTTACTTTTAACGCGTTTAACATTAACAATGATTAGCGTTTGGCATGAAATACTGACTGAAGGCTCTCACCGGCATTGTGTAAAGCAGTGAATTGTTTAAGAGGATCGTTCAGAGTCGAAAACCAAAAATCAATATTTTAAACCCAAAATGGGTTTTCTGCTGTGCTGAAAAATTTGAGTTTCCTTTCAAGGGCCTTTTAGCCCATTGATGTATAATACAATCTAGACCGCGCATAGGAAATTTCGGCGAGACGATAGGCGACCCGGATTGCCTCGATACATATGGCAATCCAATATCGACGGTGAAACTACCAAACCACGTATCTCGTTTGCGGTGTTTAAAAATCTCCGCTCACATTTCATTTTTTTTAAGTAGACCAAATCAATATCATTCCTTGAAATTTTCACAGAATTTTCTCAGCACGAAGAGGAAAAATCACGGAAATTTTCAAGACTGGACGTTAAGTAGCTTTTCATTTAAAAAATAAAGTATGACAGGAAGTCTGCGACGTCGCAAACCGAGATACGTGGTTTGGTAGTTTCACCGTCGATATGTACCGAGACAATGGAAATGCCAGTCTTGCCTGTGCCGTTGCCTGGTAGGCTTCGTATATCCAGCTGTATCAACCAAGCTGAAGGCACGTCTTTACCCTGATTTACCCCGCTAGCTGTCTTACCTCCCCCGCCTAAAGTCGGGCCTAGTGCGCAGTCTATATTGTGTTATAAGTCAATGTTTTAGCCTGATTTTGCCTCGTTTAGTAGCTACTGGATTCTTCTTGTATTCCTTTCGTAACTTTATTTCCTGATGATAAATTTTTTTAAAATTGTTATGAAATTTTCAGCCCCACTGACATGCACAGTGCTTTTATACTTGTGCACATGCGCACTGAAAGGCTTTCCTGAGTATGATCCGTACCAACCGAAAAAAAAAAACCAAACGACTATTTTTGGTATTTTGCCGTGAGAGAATTGCAGCTTTTCGAATACTTTTCACTCCCATGAATTGTTCAGGAGCCTCCTTGTACCTCAGTTTTAGTTGCAATCTTTGCTTATAGAGTTAAATACATACCAATAAAATTGAGTTGTTTTCTTTATATCTTTTTCGATTATATTTACTTTGCCTCCTACCTTCGAGTTTTCCCCGGTCGGCGGGATTTTAAATTGCTCTCTCTCTCTCTTTAAAGCAAATGTGTTTTCAGCTGGGTCCTACGTATTCAACAAGGCCTTGAAAAGTGTAAAAACACGTTTCAAAGCGAAGGTCATCACCTAAATTCTTTCTATTTCCAATAGAAACGCTGGTAAACTGACAGAGCGAATCCTAGATTTTATTTTTTCAGCAGAAACACCTGTAATTTTTCCCTTTTTTTATTGAAGTACCTATATGTTGATGCTCCCCTTTGGAGGGTAAAAAAAGCCAACAAACAAACCTACAGAACTTTAAATTAGGATTGCGTCAAGTTGTTCTCGAAGAGACGTGCAGTTTCCACAAGCTTTTGTTCATCAAAAAATTTGCATGTTTCACTAAGAATAAAAGTGCGGTAAAATATACCAGACTTTTGGTTCATATTGAATTCCGAATTTTTGGTCAAACACAGGGTGTTCAAAAAGTCATGTACGTGTCCGTTTTTTGAGCGAATCTATCTAAAAAAAGAACCTCATTTATTCCGCTCCTTACGTTTGCATAAAGTCAATAGACAATGCGGCATCCTACCGGTAGATTTCGTCGAATATCCCCCCCCCCCAAAAAGCAAATACGTCAAAAGAACATAAAGTAGAGAGAATTACGGGTTTCCAAGACAGTCGAGAGAGTTGGTGAATTTTTAGCTTTCATTTTCTGCATCATGTGAAGTAATGAAGAGACGGAAGATACTGGAAACGTGTCGACGGCAAAACTCCCATACCACACATCTCGTTTACGGTGCTTTAATATCTCCGCTCATATTTTACCGTTTTAAGCAAAAAAAATTAGCATCATTAAGAATTGGCGTTGAGTAGCCATTCATTTAAAAGATTCAGTACTACAGAAAGGATGGAACGTCGCAATCCGGTTTAAGAGTTCCGCCGTCGATAAAGTTAAACTATTAATATTTAAATAACTTCAACTTAGGCCTAGTATTGTTAACATTATTGTAAAATGTTAAATAAAATTAACAATTTAATGTAGCAGCCTGCTCGTTTAGTTAGAAAGAGACTCTAAATTTTTGAACATTTTTGGTGGTCTCCCTTTTGGCTCCTCTTCTAGCTTTAGAATGTTCTCTAGTCCTTTTCTCGCAAACCCTCCCATCATGAGGAACCTGAATCCATCTCACACACTGAATAACAATTTTCAAAAATCCGACATTGCATCAAACAGTAATGCTGAAATGTCACATTTTTCAAAAAAGTTCTCTTTTGAAAAAGTTTTCCCCGTACATCGAAGTCCTGTTTCTCGTAGGCTCTCTGGAATACATACATCATTTATATTTTCACCTAGCCTTGCATGCCTCTATAGCTCTCGTCGCACAGTGGCTCGAGTCAAGTAGAGTGGTTGGACATGAAATTTTTGACTAAAACTGCAAATTTTGGCATTTATTTCGTATCGTTTTAAATTTTAAGGGGTGCTTAGAAATGTTCCGAGGAAACCAATGGAACCACCTTTAGAACCTCAAACCTTTGTATAAGCGGAGCTGTAAGCGTTCAAAGTTTTCAAATTTTGTCCGACCTCTCCTATTGACTCGATCCACTGTGCGTTGTTAGGATCGGCAACAATGCTTTTGATGCGTGAATTAAGCTGGTCGAATCGCCGTGAAAGGAGGGAGGGGAGGCGAAATTTGCATTCACTTATCACGGTGTAACAAACGCTCCAACAAGGCTGTTGATCGACCGGCCATGATAAACTGCAAAAGAGGAGGTCTCATTCGCGCTCCGCCCCCGCAACCCTCAATTTACCCCCCCCCCTTCGTCCCTCTTTGTGGAAAATCCAACCCATTCACCTGTTAGCCAGACATTGTCAAGCCCCATCCAGCGCAATTCGACAAATCGTTAGAGGAAGCCTGAATAATGGCGTTGTATAAATTTTTCTTCATAAGACTTCTATACGAACGAAGACGTCGTCTTGGCCGAATAATTAGGAGGGTTTGGGGCTTGTTTGGATGAGGCAAAATTTGTTTGTGGGTAAGGGAGATTTACCTCCAAAAAATTCCGAGACAATTGATCAAAATTTCTCTTAAAGAAAAGACTGTTTTCCTCTGCCTACCTCAAAATAATGTCAAAGGCCTCAAAGATAACATCAGGGTTAACCACAGTTAGCGAGTACCGGGAAAACCGGGAATTGTCAGGGAATTTTAAAAAGTCAAGAAAAAACTTGGAGATGTCAGAGAAAATGACGAAAATGTCAGGGAACAATTGTCAAGTCACCTTTATTTCCTTTCTAGAATGGGTTTGAAGTTTCGAACAACAAATTTTGCGTGAAAACTATTTAAAATCATGTCTTTTTAAGTATGTGGCAAATCCTCAATCGTTAGGGAATTTTACCAAAATGTGATAGAGAAATCAGAGAAACGTCAGAGAATTTCATCTCCTACATTCTGTGGCAATCCTGATTTCATCTTTGAGGTCTTTGACATTATTTTTAGGTAGGCAGGGTAAAACGGCCTTTTCTTTCAGAGAAATTTTCTCGGAATTTTTGGTAAGGCAGGTTATGAAATAACCTCTCTCACTTTCGAACCTCAGAAATGGTAAAGAAGTTAAGTCCAAGTGTCAAATTGAATAATGTAATGACGTTTCCTCGGAGTTCTGCTCTCCCGCGTGTGCTTCGAAAAAAGTCGGAGGCGTGGCATTTTTGTGGAAAAATATAATACCCATAAAACGCATGGCTGAATATTTGTTTAGAATAAGAAGAAGGGCAGTGTATACGATGTGAGTACCAAGGACACAGTCTCCGATGACTGTTGCCTTCGTTGTATTGTTTAAAAATTTATTATACGCTTCAGCATTAATATTTAACTGACAATGAGTGATTCAGTGACCGATCTGAATGACAAACAAGACTTAGATCGACGATATAATCCAGTAAACTTCCTGTCAAACCCTCTCCAAGAGGGCCTCAAATTAAAACCCGGACGGTCGATCCCGTCCAACGAGTAAAGCAAAGTCAATTTACTGACCTAATCCCTGTTCGTCCACGTCCACAACCTGGAAAAGGTAGCAAAAATACACTCTTCTAGTGCAATAACTTAGAAATAAAAATGAAAGTCCTCCGGGTTGTATTTTTTTAATTTTTCAGTGTGGAATGGAAGAACCTCACGGCATGGTATAAAAATTACGGTATGGAACACGAAGCGCGAAAGCCCGGCTGGATTTCACACTAGGCCGGCCGCGGTAG